CTCCCCGCGCAGCCTGCGCGGCTCCGCCGGACCCCGCGTGCCATCTAGCGGCCACCGACCCCGTTTGGGGCAGTTTGTTGGATGGTTCCGATTTTTTTTTCTTTTTTTTTTCCTTTCCCTTTCCCCTCTTTTTCCCCCATAATTTAGGAATAATTAGGAGCGCTGTGCTTCAGGTAGGTGCGGGGCAGAGCGCGGCGGAAGGATGGTCTGGGAGGACGGTCACGTCCAGGCACCATGGGGCAGAATTGGGAGGGCAAAGCTGGACCCATCCTGGCAAGAGAGGTTGTCCCAGGAGGGCGTTTTGGAGCAATCGGGGTCAGATGAAAACAGCACCCTCAGCTGGCACCGTGTGCAGGGAGCGGGGACCCTGCTTTGCCCTGGGGACAAGAGGAGCAGGGCAGCCCCTTTGGAAAGCCAGGAGAGGAGGGAAGGCTGCGGGGCAGGCAGGGCCCTGGGCAACATCCAGCTCTGGCGGCACCAGCCTGGGGCTTCCTGCCACAGTGACCTGTTTTATTTCCCTTGCGGAAGGTCCTGCTCACTGTCACAAGGATCTCGCCATGAGAAACTGTTGTCCTGCTGCCGTTTGTTCCTGGAACGAAAAGGGATTTGCCCAGGGCACTGATTGCATCCCCTTTGATGGAGAGACGAGCCGCAGAAGCGTCACCAAGCTGCCCTGTGCCCCATGGCTGGGCTGCTGCACACCCCAAAAAGTGCCTGTGCTGGCCCAGCTGGCCGCCTCGCCGGGCCTGGCACTGCAAAAAGCCTTCGGTGCCCCTTGGGAAAGGAGGCCGCCTTTGGATGAGCCGAATCCCAGCGTTTTCCCATCAGGACGATGAGCACAAGGTGCTGTGTTACGGCTGCTGTGATAGCACAGCTCCAAATCCACAGGGATCCCAGGCTGCACGTCCAGGTCCCTGGCGTAAATCAGGGGTGACTCAAAGCAGCCGCGCTCCAGGTGGCACAGGCTGCTGCAGCACCCGGCGCAGGCACCTCGCCGGCGGGAGACAGCTGGGAATTTTCCATGAAGCAGCATGTTCCCCCTCAGTGAAACAGCACATTTTGCCAAGGAGAAGCAGGAAGGAAAAGCAAGTTATTCGGGGAGTTCATGAATACCAAAGGATTTGTGTGCAGAAAATTTCTCATGGGCAGCAGAGAACCAGAGTCATCACCACACTGGGTCTGAGCGAGGGAGCCCTGGATGTAGGGGCTTTATTCCCTGCTTTCAGCCCCGCTCGCTGCTCTGGCAGACGATGGGAAGCTGGAAAATTTCCTAATGGGCACAAATGCCCAACAGTGAGTGCTTAACGGAGCAGCCAAATTGCTGCCTCCCTTGTGCCAGCAGCCGGGCAAGTCCCCGTGCCGGTGCCACCGCTGCCACTGGGGCCGCACCGCCAGCAAAAACACAGGCACCAATCGTGTCTTGGCAGCGCCCGCTTAACAAGCTCATATTCTGGCTCCAGACAGCGCGTTAAGTGGCAAGTGTCCATCAGCGCATTAATAATCCTATAAGAGCCCCATTAGTGATGTGCAGCACCCCATAAAGGCAGTGATTAGCCTTCTTAGGGAGGAGGAGGAGGAGGAGGAGGAGGAGGAGGAAGGGCACGTCCCGCGGGAGCGTGCAGCCGGCAGGCGGCGGTGCCGCTCCGGCAGCATCCTCCCTGCCCTGCCAAGGGTTTTGCCTCCCAGAACACTATCAAATCCGTAGCGAGAGGCAGTAATTAAGTCCGGACCGGGTCCCCACCATGACAAGGGGACAGGTAGAGGCTGCTCCGCACGACCTTGGTCACCCTCTGGGAGCCTCATGCCCTGCCGGGGACACAAAACAGTGTCCCCCTGCTCTGGGTAAGGGGGGATGAGCCGCGTGCCCAGCGCCCTTTGCACACGCTGGGGATGCCGCCCGGGCAGGCAGAGCTGGCATGGGTGGACCCAATAGCTGCGGGTACAAAAGAAGCCAATTTTCCTCCCAAGTTCAAGCTCCTGCCCAACCTAGGGATGCTCCAAGGGAAGGAGCATCTTCCAAAAGCCCCGTGCCAGCCCAGGACGCATCCTCAGTGTCTGCTCAGGGCCAGGATGCTGCCCATGTCTCGGCGTCTGCACTCAAGCCTAGAGCTACTTACTGGGTCTTCATGGAAAAATAATAACCTCAGCAGAGGAGAACCACAGCAAGGAACCATGCTGCAATGTGCCACGACAAGCTCCTTTCCCAAATTCTCCCCATGCACAACACTGCCCTTGAGATAGGAAATATAATTTGATTGTAGGAGCTGCAGTGCCCAAGAGCTCTGGGCATCAGACCACTTAGTCACAGGAACTTCTCTGTCTCCCTCAAGCGACATCGTGCTGCCCTTGCCGGATACAAGGGCCTCCTTTTGATGGGAAAAATCCTTGCTTGATCCCTGGCTCAGCCCCAATTCCTGCCATTCTGCTTCTATCCAACCCCATCGCAACAAAGTGCGAAGGCTCCGAGGCCGGTACCGACCTGCCCATGCCGAGGACCCCACCTGTCCCCAGCCTGCCAGGAAGCAACAAAACAGCCCCAAATTTGCTCACTCATCAGCATCCAAAGTGGGCAGCAAGCAAAGAGAAGGAGAACGTGACAACATCCTAAAGGCACCTTTATATCCCAGCCCACGGGGAGCGCAGGAGCCAAATACCCCGAGCCCAGGGGTATTTGGGGCTCCGAGGGGCTGCGGGAAGGCCGGGAGCTGCACAGGAGGAGACACTTGAGCAAGTTCCGGCCTTTCCAAGCCTGTGAGCACCGCGAACCCTTCGCTTCCCTGAGCTGCTGATTCACTTGTGGCAGCGGAAAACAATAGAGGTGAGGATCCAGTTCCCGGTAGGATTACACATTTCAGGGGCGGAAGAGATGCTGAATCTTCTATTTTTTCTTTTGGGATGAAAGGAAGAGAGAAATGGGTGCATTTTTCTTCTAATGTTAATTAAAAACAGCGATGGCCCTGCCTTCACATGGAAAAGAAGGGCAAAAGGTAGAAAGGGAGAAGAAAGGCAGACCCACATGTTTGGTAGAAAGGATTCCTGGCTGCCCTGCTGCAAGGAGACGCACAGAGGAAACCAGAGCAGCAATTAAAAATTAAAGAGAATGATGTAGAGCAAATGAGTGCGATGCTCCTGGATGGTGCTCCTATCATCCCAACTTATTCAGATGCACGAAGCAACAGTCTGAAAGCCCCTGGCTATGGGCTGAGTTTGTGCAATTAGACCATTACAAAAATAAACCTCTGAAACCCTCAGACATTTAAACCTGATAATCTGTATAAAGAAAAATGTTCGCTTTTCATGTACAATGAGTGGAAATCATTTTAGATTTTTATTGTTATTATTTTAGGAGGGAATAAGCATATTTCAGTCCAGTCAAGAGTGAAATTGAGTTTAACAACAAAGTGATTTCTATTAGTGCAGGCCCAGGAAAAAACATGGATGAATAGAAAATTCACAGAGTCAAAGAAATGTGTCAGACAGTGATGGAATTAAGAATTAAAAGTGACTTTGCTTTACTTTTGCTAATATAAGCACATCATGATCAACCTCATTGCAAACATGCATCCTTCCCATATAAATATTGCAAAGCAGAGAAGAACAGGATGACACCTGGTACCCCCCCTAGGGGACAAGGTTGAAAGGATGGAAAACTCTTAATTCAGGGGTTCTGATGGGTGTCCCCAGTGATGGGAGCCACTCTCACGTCCAGTCTTCAGAAAAATATTATTTTCTGGTTGGGTATAAAAGAAACCTGAAACCTCACTCTGGACAGCTAGCGCCTTTGGGCATCAGCATCTTCTAGTGGCATCCGGGTACCTCCCGATTCCCATCCGTGACGGCTGGTGCCAGGCAAAGTCCCCATTCCTCGCAGGATGCTGGCACGGAGTCATCAGAGTATCCTCGCTTCTCATCGTGTCTCGTCCCCGCTGCCAAGGACCTAGGTGGTTGTTAAAAACCAAAAGTTTGAATAGTCTAAAGCATTAAATCTTGAAGCAATTACCCTGCCCTACATCTTTATTGGCTTTAAAGATTAATTTCTCCCCTCCACCGAGGCAGTTCCACTTGTTTCTCCTCAGTGGGCTTCACAATTGGAATACGGAGACAGATTAACATTGATCACACTGTGCATTATTAAATGATTTTTTGGCATCTTTATTTTTTCTCTTTCTGTTGTGCTTTCTCTATAGAGAAGCCTGTGAAAGGGAGCTGCAGCAAGAGCCGGAGCCGAGGTCATGAGCTGCTGTGTCACGGGGAGAAGGCAAACTCCCTTTAAAGCCAGTCCTGTTCCCATTTGAAACTAAAATCCTCTTGGCTATGGTGCAAAGGCCACCTGGGACCAGGCAGGTCCTCTGGACTGATGGTTTTCCTTTTTTTCCACTTTACGTTTATCTATTTTAGGAAGAACAGGCTCCTGGCAGAGCATGTGTTCCCACATTTGCTCAGGAGCTCTTATTTTCTGCATTTCCAAATCCAAGCGAGAACCAGAGTCAGCAAATAGAAGTGCGATGGGGGCTGCGTGCAGCATTTGTGAAGATTCATAAATCACCCCCAACATAAATAACCCGACTTCTCTTGCTCAGGGGAGAGAGCATATCCCCCTCTACAAA